CTAGACAGACACTTCACCAAAGAGGTTATAGCAAATAAGCCCACAAAAAGATGTTTAACATCATTAGCTATCAGACAAATGCAAATTAACACCACAATGTGATATCAGTACACATCTATTAGATCAGCTAAAGTAAAAAATAGTTATAATACTAAATGCTGGTCAGGAGACGGAGAAACTAATTAGAGGGTTCAGATGATGACAGCTCAAACTCCTTTACAATTTTTCTATCAGTCTTTCATTTTATGTTTCACCCACCTATGATCATTGTCTGGACCTGTTACTTCATTAGAGGTTGTTAAATGGTGATTTTCTACATTTATTCTACTGTTATTAATTTTATTTCTTCTGAAGGAAGAACTTCCTTTCTTCAAGCTAGGGCTATTTGGTTGACCAGAAATAGTTTGTTCCAGAAAAGCACAATTAAAATACTGAGTTCTTTTTCCTTTAATTGTTCATTGTCAGAGTAAGAAATTGATATCTTATTTACTTCGTATGGTATCCAGTGAGGTTTTCAATTGGAAGTGAGGGGGATCTCTATTTATCTCTCTCTGTATTCTTAATAATCTCATGATTTTTATATAGTCCATGTGTTTCAATTACTTCTAGTTAGTATTATTTTTTTGATGCTTTTGTGTACTTTTAACATGCTTCCGTTAGTCTGCTGGTTTTGCTCACTGACACAATTTTATACAATTTATCTTATTTATTTCCTGTCTCAAACCTGGAATTAGCTATTCTCCCCTCTCCCCCAAGAAGTCCTGATACATTTTATGTAGAATAGCATTTAGAGAACTTTTGTGCATCACTTTTTTTTTTATTACAGAAGAAAATTTGTACTCTCAATGTTGATTTAAATTACTTTTATTACACTGCTACTTAAACAACAATGGAACTATGTATAAATAAATGCCTTGGGCTTATGGTGTTTATATAATTATAAAACCAAAACAATAAACAATAAAACTAATAAATTAACAGCATTAAAGTTAGGCATTATATTGTTTTGCTGAAACTAAATTACAGTTCACAACATGAATATGGCTCCACGATGGCATATTGAGTGCAGCTTGTCTGGTATGCTATGGGATGACTCATTTCTCACCACTTTATTCTAACTACCAAGAAACTGTATTATGTACAGCACACCTGGTATAGGACCATATAATTTACAAAGTCTGACTCCTTCATTTCAAATCAACCACAATTAAAGTGGTACTATCTGGTGTCAATGTGGTTGAAAATACAAACACAAATATGAGTGTTGATAATGTATGACAGGGTTCAGTTATAAGGTGGTCTTCTAGATGACCCAGAATATGCTCATGTTAATTTATTTTAGACTATTTCCTTTGGGAGATGGTCAAGTTACAGTTAAAGAAAGATGGCTGAATTTTCATAGAAGAGGCTGAGATTAAAGGGAATATAGCTGACAACAAACTGTGATTCCAGAGACATATGAGGACGAATAGACTGCAATATGTGACATCGAAATGTACCACAGCAAAACAGTATTAGTTGGCCAAGATTACTGGGTGAAGTAGAAGGAGTGAAGTGAGCAAGCTACAAAACAAAGAAAGCTACAAATTAAAAAGAGTTTATAGCACCTGATTAATATTATTGGTCTTTTTTTTAAAAAAAGATTTTATGTATTTATTTGACAGAGAGAGAGACAGCAAAAGAGGGAACACAAGCAGGGGGAGTGGGAGAGGGAGAAGCAGGCTTCCTGCCCAGCAGGGAGCCCGATGCGGGGCTTGATCCCAGGATCCTGGGATCATGACCTGAGCCGAAGGCAGACACCTAATGAGTGAGCCATCCAGGCGCCCCAATAGTATTGGTCTTGGTGCTAATATGAAACTGCAAAAAGGCTGAAGCGTGGATATAGAAACACTTACTATTTAAAATAATAGCACAGCCAACCTTAACATAGAATTCAATTTACTCCTCTAAATAAATACTGACCAAACATCTAAAAGACATATGCTGGATGGTCTTTCACATTGTTGCCCACCTGGAATTCCCACAAGTCTCTTTCTGTCCTCGTCTGGGCGTCATCTTTGACTTCTAGTGGGAGTTGACAGAAATGTTTAAGCAGGAGAGGGAGATAATCAATTTTCTTTGTTTTGTTATGCAAATGACTCTGTGGTGGTGTAGACTATACTGTAAAAGTTATCAAGTGAAGTAAAGAGATACATGTAGCAGAGAAATGAATCAGGAGGCTGTTCCACAGTCCCATTTGTTGAGAACCACAACTAAATTGAAAATGGAGTGGGGAGGCTTGATTTGAGATATTTTTCACATTTGGTGATTTCTGATTTCATGATTTGTTGAGAAAATGAATACAGAGTAACTAGTTAGTAAGGTATTGCATAATCCAGGTAAGAAGGGATGTGAACCTGAACAAAGTAATGATATTAGGAATGAGAAAAAAAAAAAAAGATGAGGACACCTGCTTTTGGCTCAGGTCATAATCCTGGGGTCCTGCGTTGGAGTCCGCATCCAGCTCCCTGCTCATCAGGGAGCCTGCTTCTCCCTCCCCCTCTGCCTGCTGCTCCCCCTGCTTGTATGTACTCTCTGTCTCTCAAATAAATAAATAAAATCTTTTTCTTAAAAAAAGGATGAATTCCATAGATATTAAGGAAGTAGAATTCTCAGGACATTTTGATGGCTCAGATGATTCAAGAAAGAGGGAGGAGCAAGGATGATCTTCAGGTTTTAAAAATTGTCTACCACAATTTTTCACAAAGGTGATTGACCTTAAAAACCCCACATCTTTCTTAGCTTTCTTCCAACAGTGTCCCATTGGAATTGTCTCTGGGAGAAGACATTTCAAGCAGTATGTGCCAGAGTAGCCAATAAAGAAACACATCACATACAGGGCTACACTCATAAAAATACCTTCTTCATTTAGGAGGGAAAATAAAAGTGTAACACCTACAGGGGTTGGCAAACTATGGCCCACAGGTCAAATATGGAGCACTACCTATATTTTTAATGGCCTGTGACTAAGAATGGTGCTGACATTTTTAATAGGGAAAATAATTCAAAGAAAAATAATTTTTCATGACGCATTAGAATGATACAAAATTCAAATGTCAGTGTCCACAAATAAAAGTTCTACTGGAACACAGCCATGCTCATTTGTGTACATACTATGTATACAAGCAGTCTATGGCTGCTTTGGGGCTACAACTACAGACTTGAATATTTATATCAGACCTATAGCCCTCAAAGCCTAAAACATTTACTACCTGGTCCTGTACAGAGAAAGTTGCTGACTCCTGGTCTACTATAAGCCAGGTACTGTGCTAGGGCTTTCACATCATTGTCTCCTCTAATTTTGTCAAATCCTTTAGTGGTATAGTAGGCTACAGGGAACTGGAGAAATTAGCTAATTGAGAACAATAACATGTTTTATTTGTAAAATATTCCAATCATTTAGGCAAAGGTAATGAGTCACCTTCATTTATTTTTTTTTTAGGATCGTGTCCTTTCCCTGCTTTAACACTGCTATTCAACCCAAATGCTTATTTTCAGTAAGTACTAAAGCTAAATTTTCAGATTATAAAGCCCTTCGCATCTCATCTCTCTTTTCCCCACCCAACACCTCTGAATTTCTCACTGTTCTCCCATTTTGTGCAGACACAAGCTGAAAGTGACACACTGAAGAGATATTTCGAGTTCATTTCCTTTAGGTTCCTTGTCCACCTTTCCGTTCTATGCCTTTCTTCTTTCTTCTTTACTTTCTTCATCGAATTGTCTACCATTATGAAATATAAAAGGAATTTAAAGGACGGAGGTAGGGAAACTGCAAAACACACACAGGGTTTTTGGTAGGGAGACATACCTCTTACCGCTCTGGACGGCCTAATTGGTCAAATCCTCGAGAGTAGGGCCGATTTTTTTTTTTAATGTCTTCCAACATGTATTAAAGGTTCAGTGAATTGCCATTCAGTCATTGATTTTCCCCCCTCCCCCTCTTCCTCTCCCTTGGGAAACCTGGAAAACAAAATCTTCCCACGGAAACTCCTCAGGGGCGCCCCAAGATCCAATCGCCCGCGCTGCACCCTCTCCCGCCACCCACCACCCACCACCCACCACCCACCACCCACGGCAAGTCCGCGGCGCCTCCAAGCACAAACCCAGCGCGGGCTTCTTGATTTCCTGAGCGCGCGCGCGCGCGCGCTCTCCCGTTGGCCCCCTACCCTGCAGCAAGGGCAGCGTGACGTAATGCAACCTCAGCATGTCGGCAGCGATATAAAGAAGGACAAGGCGGCGCGCCTCCCAGACGCAGAGTAGCTTGTGATTGGCTCGGGCTGCGGAACCTCGGAAACCCGAATGTGAGGACCTTACAGATCCACAGCTGCCGACCCCCGCAGAAATCTGGAGCGCGGTCAGAATCCAACTGGCGGCGGCGGAGGCAGCAGTGGCAGCAGGTAAGGAGACTCCCGGAGAGAAAGTGGAGGGATTTGGGTCCGCTGCGCTGTGTCGCTAGTGTGAGAGGAGGAGAGGCTCACACCCAGCCTGTAGTGTAGGGCGAAGGGAACAATGGAAGTGGCGTCTAGTCCCTAAGCTTTGCCTCCCCCTCGGTCTGGCAGTTTTTCTCCTCAGCCGCAGCCGGTGACTGGAGGAATTGAGGGAAGTGGAGGTTTTTCCCCCTCAGGCAGCCTCTCCTTCCTCCAGGCCAGAACCACTAGGGGCAAGAGCCGTCGTTGTGACCGTCGGTGGTTTAGGGTGACGGGAAAATGGCGGAAAACAAAACGGTGAATTGAAGAATGCGGCGTCCCCCTGGCATTTTCTCTCGGCGACACCCCCCAATATTCCTTTCATTTGCGCCCCCCTCCCACTTCTCTGTCCCCCACCCCGCCTGCTGCTTCTGGTAGGCTTGGAATGCGTGAGGGATGGTGGCGTTTGCAAGGAGGTGGCGCCGAATCGAGCATTTTAGGGGGTAGGGAGCAGTCAGAGCCTGGGGGGCGGGTGTGTGCGGCAGTTGTCGCCTCCACTAAAACACCACCATTTTGGTTCCCAGCCGTCTCCCATGTAGCGGGGCAGAGAGAGCGGGAGGAGGATGAGGGGTTGGGCAGCACGGCGTGGGTAGCAGCGGTGGCGACCGCTGCACCAAGTAAGAGGAGGGAGGAGGGGAAAGGGTATTCTTGTCTCTTCGCTTTCTGCCTTTCCACAGAGAAGGTTCTCTTGTTAGGTTTAAGACCCAGTCATATGGGTAATATATAAGAGGGCACGTGTGTGCGTTCTGCTCGAAATGATCGAAACTTGGCATGGTCGTGGAAAAGGGAGACTTATGCGGGAAGCGGGTTGCGTCCAAAGCTGCAATACTGCTACTTGCCAGAGCTCCTTTGTCTCCTATTTCTGCAAATACTACTTTCGCATTCTCTTGCTCTGCTGCCTTAAGATTTCTCTTCTACCTCTCACCCTGTTTACATCATCAAGATCAAGAAGCTAGGTCCTGAATGAGCTGTTCGGAGGAGACGGACGAGAGTAAAATGTTTTTTGTTGTTGTTTGTTTTGTGATTTCTGCTCCCCGTACATTGAAAGATGTTTACTTGCGGCGTTCTTAGTGGCTACCTCCATTCAATAAGGATGTGAGATATACTCTTGAGAATACTGAGAAGCCCAGCTATCTATTGGTTATTGAATACTTAACACACTGCTGTTCTCATACCTCATTTATTATTGATCTATTTAAACTTCCTATATGGGAAAAGGTGCTCCAATTTATTTACTGGGTATTCACACAGTGTGATACTTCCTATAGTAGTTGCACTATGTGTTAAGATTTTTACACCTAATTGAGTGCTAGTGCAGATTTTTCTCTATCTATTTGGCAAGGATAAATCTTGCCCTTGGTTGGTTCTCTTTCACTTTACAAAATAAGGTGTTGCTAGTGATTTTTAAATGTGCTTTAGAGAACATTTGTTTTAATGAAGTGGTCTAATTCTAAGTGTAATAATGTTGCTTATATTGTAGTAGGTAGTTGTTTCTTTTGGAATCCCTTCGGATGCTTTTTAGATGAGCAGATTTGAGCATTTGAGCCCTTCTCAATCTCACCCTGCGCGTTAAAGTGTAAAGAAAATTCTTAAGTTGTGTAAGAGATTTGGTTTAAAATGTTTTAAAATGTTTATTTTTGAATGTATTTTTACAATAGGTAAAGAGAACGTTTTCCCAAAGAAAATAACATAGGTCAGAAGGAAAAATAACGAAAACAAATTGCTGCAGATTTTACTTTACAATATGTAAGAAAATCTACAATTTCTTCAAGACAGTCATATTAAGGTGATTAACAAACTAATGTTTTATCTTATTTAATAATTAAACAGAATTAAGTGTTTAAAACATTTTAAGGCATTTGTAATTGTTCTATTAGTTATGTGATAAAGAAAGCAATTATTCTAATTAAAGTTGAAATATTACACTGTTTTAAATGTTAAAAATAAGTCCTTATGGCATTTTGATTTATCTCTGTGAACATACGGGTAGTTTATCATGAACTCTCGTGGCCTCTGATGGCTTCATTTTGGAGGCAGGAAACAATGTGGTATTTGAAAAAAAAAAGACAATACAGCCAAGAATTTCTAAAAATTTGTAATTTTGTTAATACATAAAGTAATTTTGTTGAATCGTTTGATACACAGAAATGACACCTACTGCTGTAAGGATTTTTATATACAGGATTCAAATGTTATACTCTCCTGCCTCCTGTGCACCTATAGAACTTTTAGGCAAGGAAAAAAAATCTTAGTGATCTTACTTAAGGATACATTAAGTTGCTTTACATGGCAGCTTTCTAAAAGTTTAATAATATAACCTCATCTTTTGTGCAATATAGCCCAATTTATTAAACACTCCTAAATAAAAATGAGACATGTTTTATAAAATTGACAGATTTTTTTGGTTGATATACTTAGAATTTTATGTTTGAAGGGGAAATACACATATGTAATTGTAAGAAATATGCATAATGACAGCATTCGACTTTAGGTTCCATCCATACTGTCTGATGATCTTAAATATAGGATACATCACTTGAAATGAAATAAAATCCTTGCTTTCAAAACTAGCTTGAAGCTAGAGTGACTTTATTAATCATTAAAGAAAAACAATCAGTTGTACAATTATAAGTAAACGATATTCTGAAAGGAACAATTTTGCTAAATGTTTGTATGTGATTGATCTTATCTCTACCATATTTAGGAAGCAGTCATGTTTCATGAGTCCTCAAAACTGTGAGACAAGAGAATGTAGTAGAGTGAGGCCAGAAGTCCTTACTGGCTCAAAGAACTCCAGGGAAACTGGGATAGAACATTTTACATTATAAGTAGAACCCCGGGAGCCAGAGGTGAAACACAAGTTTATCTGCAGAGCTCCGCTGCAGGGCTGAGCTGGGTCTGGAAGAAATGGATGAGAGCCACTGGATGAAATTCACTAATACTAGACACCTGAGTCCTCTAGTAATGTATAAATATCCCAACTATTGTCTGTTGTCATCTTGTTCTCCTTTTTCTTCTTTTATAATCTACATTTTAACTGGAACGTCAGTGCTACAGTTTTGTTCTTTTGCTTGCTTCTATCACTTCCCTGTGGCTTGTCACCCTTACTGTGTCTTATTCTCCGTTATCTTTTGATTTATTTCCTTTCACTTAGCCCTTCTTTACTTATGCTTGTCACATTAAGTATCTAATCAAGGTTTTTATTTTCCTTTGTAATAAGATTTGCACACCTGGTTTTGAGGCATATTTTCCATTGCATTTTTTTTTCTCAGAACAACTGACTTTGGCCTAAATATATTTAAACTATTTTTAAAACCATTTCTTTTACAGAGATTTGTGAATGAACTTTGCTAAATATGGATTCAGGTGGTGGAAGTCTTGGATTGCACACATCAGACTGTAGAATGGCCCATACCATGATTATGCAGGATTTTGGTAAAGCATTTTCTTTGTTGTATTTTTTCTTTCTTTTTTAAAATCATAGCATCCTAAATATCAAAACTATATTGAAGAAGGGGAGAATTTATGAGAAGTTGTTTTTTTGCTAGGAAAATTCATTTGTAGGGCTCATTTTCTTAAAGTAGCTGTGTGCCAGTAGTCTACTTAAAATCATTCTTAAAATTTTGTGGGAAGGTTGAAGTAAGGAAACTTTGGAATATAGTGGTGATGTGGCATTGAAAATGAAAAAACTCAGCTTACATAAATAACCAAATCAGTTCTTGAATGTTGGAAATATTAAATTGGCTTTCTAAAATTCATTTTAAATTGTATTGTTGATAAACCTGGAAAAGGAACTACTTCAGTCATTACAAAGAAGTTAGATTAACTATATTCTGATGCAATATCTTCAGAAAGTTGTTTCTAATAACATTGTATTCTTCTTTTTTTACAAAAGAAAAGATTCCCTACTTTTATGGCCAGGTTTTTCAGTAGCCTCTTAACAGTAGTTATTTTGATGAAATGTTAAGACTCCTATCACAGTCAACAAAGAAACTGAATTTGGGCAGGGTCAGTCTGAATTATAGAAGAGATTGAGGTATCTGAAGTATAAGAGGCAGGGATAGGGTGGTAAGAATTGAAGAAAAGTGGAGTGAGAGTAGAAAAGACAAATAGTAAATTGGGATTAAAAAGTAAACAGAAAACAAGGTATTAAGGAATTATCAAAGATGGTATTAGGGGTGGGGGATTACAACTAGTAATACTTTTCTCAATTAAGAAAATGCTATCACTGTTTTCACATTAATGTGAATATGTTATTTTGTTCCCTGTAAAGCCTACAGTATTGAGAATCAGAACTGGCTTCTAGTCTTGGCAGTCCTATTAACTATCTGTGTAAACTTGGTCAAATTACTTAATTCACTTTTGTGAGGGGATTGGCCTAGATAACATTTAAGGTCCTCTCCAGTTCTATGATTCCCTGACACTTCTGTCTGATGAATAAAGATGTGGTGCATAGATCAAGATTGAATGTGATGGAGATCAAGATGACTATGTAGTGAATTGATGAAATAGAAAGCAATCATTGATTCATTCTGCTAAATGAGTCAGAAATCAATTGTGTTGATTATGGATGACTTAGAAGTGATTTTGGGTGAAAAAAGTACAGGAATAAATTCTAGAAGTAGGACAAAGAACTGAAGAGTAAAGATTTCACAAAGAATTTTGTGAATTCTTTGCCAGAAATAGTTTTTAAAATACTGGAACACTTGAACTTCAGTATAGTAAATAAGTTTTGGTTGAAATGTCACCTTTAATTTTTACCTTTTAAAAATATCTTAGAGGGTGCCTGGGTGGCTCAGTTGGTTAAGTGTTTGCCTTCGGCTCAGGTCATGATCCCGGGCTCATGGGATTGAGCCCTACATCAGGTTCCCTGCTTAGCAGGGAGCCTGCTTCTCCCTCTCCCTCTGCCGCTCCCCCGCTTGTGCTCTCTCAAATAAATAAATACAATCTTTAAAAAAATAAAATAAAATAAAAATACCTTAGAAATGGAAGAAATACAGCATTTTCTCCATATGATACAAAATTTAACCTACCCTGTAGCATTTGGTGAAGTGCCAGATCCCCTTCAGTCCTGAAGAAGTTGCCTGTTAGCAAGTAAAGCCTGATTCCTTTCTAAGATTGAAAAAATGTCCATTTAGTGCTGGTGAATATTTACTTGGTCTTCCTCCTACCTTCCTTTTCATTGTTCCTCCTTAGTGTCTTAAGGTTTAATCAATACCTTATTACATCTAATACTTCACTTCCTTTCAGTGCTAGGGAAGAAGAATATGCATATTGAAATATATTATGTACATTCTTTTTTCTTATTTTTTATTGAGTTAATAATTCATATACTGTACAATTCACCCATTTTAAAGAATATAATTCAGTGGTTTTAGTATACTCACAGAGTTGTGCAAACATCACTGCTACCTAATTTTAGAACATTTCGTCATTGGAAAAATAAAACCTAATACTCATTAGCAGTCACCCCCAACCCTGCTCCAGACCTGGGCAACCACTAGCATTTCTGTCTATGGATTTACCTATTCCAGATATTTCATATAAGTAAAACCATACCATATGTGACCTTTTGTGTCTGGTTTCTTTCACTTAGCATAGTTTTCAAGTTTCATCAGTATTGTAGCCTCTATCAGTTTCTCTTTAAATTTCTGCCAACATCAAAACTTAGATATTTGCAATCCCATAAATTAATGATATTTGTGAAACAGTTTGGCATACACAGGTAGAACTAGCCAAGTAAGTATACTATGCATCACAGGATCTCTAAATTCTATAATGTTTTTGGTGGGCATAGGATGGCTACTATATTAAGAATTTGAAATATTAATTTAATTCAGAAACTCATTAGACCAGTTTCTTTTGAAGGATACTTGAGATTTAGAAACATTTTTTAAAGATTTTATTTATTTGAGAGAGAGAGTGAGAGAGCGAGCATGAGCAGGGGAGGGGCAGAGGGAGAGGGAGAAGCAGGCTCCCTGCTTAGCAGGGAGCCCATGCCAGGCTGGATCCAAGGACTCTGGGATCATGACCTGAGCCGAAGGCAGATGCTTAACCGACTGAGCCACCCAAGCGCCCCTGAGATTTAAAAATTTACAACATGATTTATGTAATAACTTTGCTTGTGTCTCAGTATAATGGTTGTCCTTGGAATCTGTGCCACTGAATTTAATAGTTAAGATTTTATTTATGCAAAAAGTTTATGTTGCTTTGTGACTTAAATAGCAGAACAGCCTTAGATAGTGGCCCAAGATAGAACCAACAAATACCAAATTGTATCCTATACCTCTGGTGAAATTCCAGGTATTTACATTTAAATGAAATAACTTTAGTAAAATGGGAAATGCTTGAAATGATGACTTATTTTGTACCGTTATTTGGTTATATAATTGCTTTCACACTTTTTAAATGATGATTTCTTACCATTTATAATTTGTTACCTAGTGAGATAAATTGTTAATGCCATTTAATGCTGTTTATTAAATGCTTTAAAATTTAATTGAGTGACTATGTGATAGATCTTTTTACTCTTTTTTTAAATTTTTTATTGTTATGTTAATCACCATACATTACATCATTAGTTCTTGATGTAGTGTTCCATGATTCATTGTTTGTGCATAACACCCAGTGCTCCACGCAGAATGTGCCCTCTTTAATACCCATCACCAGGCTAACCCATCCCCCACCCTCCTCCCCTCTAGAACCCTCAGTTTGTTTTTCAGAGTCCATCGTCTCTCATGGTTCGTCTCCCCCTCCGACTTACTCCCCTTCATTTTTCCCCTCCTGCTATCTTCTTCTTTTTCTTTTTTCTTAACATATGTTGCATTATTTGTTTCAGAAGTACAGATCTGTGATTCAACAGTTTTGCACAATTCACAGCGCTCACCATAGCACATACCCTCCCCAATGCCTATCACCCAGCCACCCCATCCCTCCCACCCCCCACCACTCCAGCAACACTCAATTTGTTTCCTGAGAAGAGAGATTGAGAACGCGTGTACAAGTAGGGGTGGGGAAAGGGAGGAGAGAGAGAATCTTAAGCAGGTTCCACGCCCAGTGTGGGGCCCAATGTGGGGCTCAATCTCACAACCCTGAGATCATGACTTGAGCCAAAATCAATCAGTTAAGTTGAACACTTAACTGACTGAGCCACCCAGGCGCCCCAGATTTTTTTACTCCTCTCTCAAACTATTCCTTGAATAGTGACTCACTTGGTTAACCCTATAAATTTCTTAAAAAAAAATAGTCTCTATGGTAAGTAAATTCTATTCTCCTCCTTTCAACACGTAGAAATAAGCCAGTCTAGAGTTAATAAGTTCAGCCCTCAGCTTGAACCTTGGGCAAGCTTATCTAACTTCTTTAAACCATAGTTCCTTCATATTTTTTATAGTTCCTTCATATTTAAAAAGGAGATAACACATTATACAGCAATTCTGAGGCTTAAATGAGATAATATATGTAAAAATATTAGTAGGTTGCTTGGTTCATAGTCATTGCTCAATAATTACAGCTAGTGTGTAGTTAAATAAGTAACTTTGTTTAGAAATTCAGTGGGATCTAGCAGATAACCTGATAACAGGAAAAAGCAAAATTTAATAGGAGACATCTTGGATCTTGGTCTGAGTAATCTAATCTGCTAGCATGCTGTGGGGAACTTGTCAGTTCCTTGTCTAGGATCCTTGATATTATTATTTAGTTCAGTGTAAACAAGCATATTTGGATTTATTTTAGCTTAGATCTGATTTATTTTGACCTATAAGTTCCTACTAGAGTAGATGCTAGAATCCTCCCAGCCAGGTTAATCTGAACCCAGGCCAGCACTAAGCATTATTCTATCCTTCCATCATTCCTTAATGTCTATTCTCTGGAACCGCACTAACCTCCAGAATTTTCCATATTTTAAGTTTGACTTGTGGAAGGATTTTATAAAATATTAATTTTATTGTTTATATACATAGAATTCCAATACTGTGAATTTTATAGGTTTGACATTTAATTTTTCCTTGCTAAAAACCACATTTCAAATCTGGCTGAATGCTAAACTTGAACCTTCACCAACTACCCGTCTCCAAAATGGCCAGTGAAGAAACAAGTGAATAGGAAGTACTCGTTTTATACATACTCCCTTTGTCTACCAGATTTCCAAGATTGAGTCTATATCCTTTGGTGGTTTAGGCAAGAATTTGAGAATACTGAGAACAATACAGAGGGGTTGAAAGGAAGATATTCTGAAAGGTAGCTTTCCCTTCTCACCTTATCTTTTGATGGGTAAGAGTATTAATAATGTCCACTGGTCTCCATCCTAACTTGTTAACTAACTTCCATAATGAATTGGTTAATAATAACCATTAGCAAATGGCACTCTTTCAGATATGACTTTATAGAAAGTGATCATTATGTGGAGAAGGCTTTGTATTAGATTATTTAATGTAGATAATTTTGTTATAACCTGGTCCATAAACTCTATTAACTTGTTTCCTGTACACTTCGGTGAGGCAAAATTTAAGAGTTCCTCATGAAGGGATTTTACACTTTTACATTTATAAAGGGGGTAGGAGTTGGTGTTTACCATGCTACTCAAAAAAAACATTGTTTAAAGTTTTGTTCCTGCAGATTTACTAGCTTAGAATTTAGTGCAATTTAGAGTCCCTGTATATGAATTTTATCAAACCAAATCTTTTTCTAGAATGAGTTGGGATTTTCCCCCCAAATCACATGTTAAAAGATGCCTTCTAGTTTTGAATGTAGTAATTTTTATAAGATAGAGATGTTTAGGGACTTTTATGTTTATAATGCGTATTTTATAATATATCCAGCTTGTCATATTTTACTAACTTAAACATTAGTACCCATTTATGTTTGTGTGTCCTTTTTATTTTAATTTTAATTTTTTGAAATACAAGACTTAAAGGAAGTAGAAAAAATAGTACATAGGGTCCCATGTAGCCTGTACTCCTCTTCTTCTAATGGTGACATCTTATATAACTGTAGTACAATATCAAAACTAGGAAGTTAACATTGGTGCATTACTGTTAGCTAGACTAAAGACCTCCTTAAGTTGTCACCATTGTTTTTACATGTATTTGTGTGAGTGTATATAGTTCTGTGCAGTTTTATCATGTATATAGATTTTTGTAAACACCACCACAATAAAGATCTAGAACTATTCCATTACCAGATATATGCTATGCTAACATATTTACACACACCCCCACCCTTGGCAACTGCTAATCTGTTTTCTATCTCTATAATTTTGAAAATGTTATATTGATTTCATTTACCCATTATATGGTATCATAACCTTTAGTTATGGAGATTCTTAATTTTCTGGAGATTCATGCAGGTGTTGAATGTATCGATAGTCTGTCCTCTTTTTATTGCTGAGTAGTATTCCATGGTAAAGATGGGCCAGAGTTGGTTTTACCAACCATTCATCTGCTGGAAGTACATTTGGATTATTTTCAATTTTTTGCTACTATGTGTAATAGCTACTATGACCTGTTATGAATTTTCATCTACAGTTTTTTGTGTAAACATATGTTTTAGTATCTCTGGGGAAAATGCCCTAGAGTGTTATTGCTGGGTTGTATGGTAAATACATGTTTAGTTTTGTAAGAAACTGCCATACATTTTCCAGAGTGGCTGCTACTATTTTACATTTCTGCCAGCAATGTATGACAGATCGTTTCTTTTTATCCTCACCAACCTGTGGTGGTATTGTTTTTTTTTTATTTTAGCTATTCTAAAATAGTGATATCTCACTGGGGCTTTTATGTTTTACTTGAAAATAAAGTGCATTATTTTTAAGGTCTTAATTTAGATTTTACTAACATTGTTTTCACCCACCTCTACCCCAGTGCCTGGTTGGTGCTGTTTTGTTTGTTTGTTTGTTTTTCACTTTTATGTAAGCTCTATGCCCAACATGGGGCTTGAACGCACAACCCCAGGATCAAGAGTCATGTGCTCTACCTACTGAGCCAGCCAGGTGCCCCTGGTGATGGTTTTTATTGCAGTTAATTTGTCAGTGGTTTTTAAAAAATGATAGTTTGGCCAGAACTATTTCATATTTTTAAAATGTTTTATGTTATCTGATACATTAAATATAGCACTTTTAATTAATAAAATAACTTTACTTTTTTTGGATAATTGTTTGTATTATAGTGGCTGGAATGGCTGGTACTGCACATATCGATGGAGACCATATTGTTGTTTCAGTTCCTGAGGCTGTATTAGTTTCTGATGTTGTCACAGATGATGGGATAACCCTTGATCATGGCCTTGCAGCTGAAGTTGTCCATGGGCCTGATATCATCACTGAGACTGATGTAGTAACAGAAGGTGTAATTGTTCCCGAAGCTGTACTTGAAGCTGATGTTGCTATTGAAGAAGATTTAGAGGAAGATGATAGTGATCATATCTTGACTTCTGAGCTAATTACAGAAACTGTTAGAGTACCTGAGCAGGTTTTTGTGGCTGATCTTGTTACTGGTCCTGATGGACACTTAGAACATGTGGTCCAAGATTGTGTTTCAGGAGTTGACTCTCCCACAATGGTATCAGAGGAGGTTCTTGTAACTAATTCAGATACAGAAACTGTGATTCAAGCAGCTGGTGGTGTTCCTGGTTCTTCAGTTACTATTAAAACCGAAGATGATGATGATGATGATGATGATGATGATGATGTCAAGAGCACTTCTGAAGACTACTTAATGATATCTTGTAAGTGAAACAAAAGACAAAATTACTTGGGAAATTGATTTATATATAACCTGGAAAGGTTTTCTGGGATGGGGTAATCTATCTATTCAATAAAAATCATGGGGATAATCTTTTTGAAAAATAATTTTTTTCAAAGCTGTGTTGTTGAGATGCTTTTGTGAACTTGCTCATATTTTTAATTTACTCAATGAAAATTCATACCCAAAATTAAGCAAAATAATGTAATTAATATCTTAGAGCAGAAAGGAAGGTTCAATAAGAATATTAACGGATAAAATTTTTAATGGTAAATATATATATTTCAAAGTGGGAAGTTTATTTTATGCAGCCACTGCTTTCTTTTTATTGTAGCAGGTACTGGAGTTGTCAGTTCAGTTTTCCTTAGGAATTTAAGCATAATATATTAAGAAATGTGTAATTAATTTTTTATTAGATATTTGAAAAAGAAATCTTAAACTCAGATTGTGTTCTGCAATTTTCCCTGTGTTTATTTTCTGTTTGTCTAAATATGCATGTGTATATTCTAAGCAAAAAATACTGTTTATTTCAGATTGCTTTATGATGTCTATAAGACATTCTATCTGAAGGAGGAAGATAGAAATATCTTGTTCTCATTTTAAGTGGTGGGTTTGCCTGAACAGCAACAATAATAAAAATCTCATGATGAGTTATTGAAGGAGCTTGAGGAAGAAGTGGGTCTATTTTTTATAAAATTTGAAGGAATCATGCTGGAAGTAATAAAGATTAGATAAAAACTTCACTTTTTCATGGTGGATTTTCGTCCTTTTCTTTTTAAAATAAAAAAGGATTAATTGGGAAGTACATCAACAGGTAGAGTTATGTGTATGTGTGTATAAAGTGATTGTATGTTATATGTGTATCAGTGAATTTAAAACTAAAAACCAATTGGATTTATTTAATTTGTAAATATGATTCTGAAGTCTAGCATGTTAACTTTTTCCCTCTATAACCACTTTTGAAAGTGAATATTTACATTGTTTTTAAGGGAATGAGTTAAGCCACTAAAATACTGTCTGCAAATGTTATTACCTCTTTTTAAATTGATGTCCATTACTAAAGCAATTCCATATTTACATCTTAACCTGACGTTAAAAAAAAAAACTGTGGTTATGATCATATAAAATGGTGTGACAAAAGTTGGCAGCCTTTCTGTATCAAAATAATTTTATGCCTTTAAAAAAGTACTTGTCAGATCAAACTCTTTGATATTAGAGTAGTTTAAAATTTAGACATTATATGTTTTGTGATTTGTCAAACCTTAACATATCTTCTATGATTTGATTCTGCAAAAGATTTTTTTAAGAGTTTCTAGAATATTTTAATTTACAGTATTTATCTTTATATTGCCATATATGTCAAATGCAAAGGACTTCTTACTTACTTACTTACTTACTTACTCTAATAGGAGTAAACTGAAGATTACAAAGAAAATTGTATTGCTTGAATAATGCTGGGACTGCTGTGGAATCATTTTAGGGGAAATTTAGACTGGGAATTAATTAACTCCTTAATCATTAGTAAAGAAACAGCAACAATTTTTTTAAAAAAATCCATTTAAAACTTAAGCAGTTTTTTATTATAGAAAATGGAATATACAAAAATTAAATACCTTTTTATGTCACCCATTTTCCCACCACCCAGATCCTTGACCATTTTTATAATGGTTATTATACTCAAATTAGAATCAGTTACTCTTTACCATTTTCACTTATTTTATTTTATTCTCTTTTGATTTAGTTTTTCCCTTTTTTCCTTCATAATCTTCATATCATTTTCTTGGTTTCTCCTGGCCATTGAATCTTACAGGAGTTAAGAGAATAAATTGCCTTAAAGGCCTCAATGTTAATCTAAAAAGTCCTCTTTTCTGTTTCTTTTCCAAGATAGAGATTTTCAAAATATCTAAGAGATAAAGTTGAGGACTTAAAACAGACCTTTGTCTTGTTCCTGAGTCCCTAAATATTCCTATAAGGAAATCTTATCAGTAGCTGAGTTTTAGAGGTAGGGAATTTGTCTTCTGTCATATTTGAGGTGCATTTGAGGTTTTTTCCCCTTTCAGGCCAAATGTCACAAATTCTTAGCAGATAGTTAGGTTTTCCCACTTGTGCTTAAGTAACTTGGAAATTAATAGAGAATAACTGTATCTTTCTAAAATTATCCTAGGTGTGCTCTTCTTTAAAAATACCTAACATCCATAAGACATTTATGGATGATGATTTCGTTTATAAAAGCTGCACTGGAAGAGGGAAGTTCCATTAAATAATGAACCAATATAATGCATTCAAATTGTTTTTTACCTATAAAATTAGTTTATATTTCTTTTGGGAACATAATCTTGTATAAAACAAAGTGTCTTGGTAGGGTCATTATGGGAGATCTCATCAAACCTCACCAATTTCAAGGGTCAAAAAAGAAAAGTTAACACCTTTGTATTTTTTTAATATAATGGCTTTATTGAGATATGATTCACATGCCATAAAATTCACCATTTAAGTCATGCAGTGGTTTTTAGTATATTCATAGCATTGTATAACCATCATCACAATCAATTTTAATTTTTTCTTCACTCCAAAAAGAAACCCCATGCCCTTTAGCAGTCACCCCCCATCCACTCCCCCTTCCCTGGCAACCACTAATCCAGTTTCTGTCTCTATAGATTTGTATATTCTCAACATTTCATATAAATGGAATCATGTAATTTGTGGCCCTTTGTGTCTGGCTTCTTTCACTTAGCCTAATGCCTTCAAGGATCATCCATATTGTAGCATGTGTCATGTGTCAGTACTTCATTCCTTTTCATTACTAATATTTCATTATAAAGATATACATTTTATTTATCCATTCATCAGCTGATGGACATTTGTGTTGTTTCTACTTTTTGGCTATTATGAATAATGCTGCTGTGAAGATTCATGTACAAGATTTTGTGCAGACATATGTTTTTAGATCTCTTGGGTATACATCTGGGAGTAGAACACTTTTGTAATCTAAATGTTACTAACTTGTTTCAGTGCTGTGAAATATAAATCCTTTACATATTGCTTGACCCCATCTCTGTGGTACATTAATATACTCTATATTGATAATAACATATCTACCATATAATTTTGGTAGATGTTACATAAAAGGGGTACAGTAAAAAGCCTACTCAGCTTTTAAAAGGAATATTGAATTTTTAATCAAATTGTGCTATTGAGCTATATAAAAGAATATTGAACATTAGCAAACTTGCCAACAATGCATCTTACTGTTTTATGTTACATTTAGCACCAGTAGAATTCTGTGATGTGTATAATATTACCTGCTATTACTGTCTGGAATGTCATGTGGGTTAAGAAACAGCACTGTGGGACTTGGATATTGCAAGCCTTACAACAAGCAAAAAGGTTAAGTCTTAATTTGGGGTATTTTGAGTATTATTTGCATTAAGAAGATCTTTGAGGATCCATTTCTTAAAATCACTTGATTGCCTATTAAGTCTTTGTTAACTTTGTACTTTCTATTACAAAGAATATAGAATAAATCTTGGTTAAGTTAATAGTTTATCTTTTAAAACTGCACACTAACATCCTTAATAACTTTATCATCTTTTATGAACTTAAAATACAGACCAAGTTTGGCTACTCAATATATTTCAGAATTGTTCATTCTGAGGAATCTAAGTAGAAAATAATGGATACATTAAACTATGGACCTTAAGGCATGGTATAAATGGAATCGGAATAGCAACAGTTATTTTAGTACTTAAAGTAAAAGCTGTGGTACAAAACTATTGAGAAGTGACCAAAAAATGTGTATTTCATTTCATGAGCTTAAATTTCATGAATTAGAGTTTTAATTCAGTTTGTTGCAGAAGGAACTATGATCACTTTCAACCATTCAATTATAATAAAGCAGTATTTATCAAATGAGTGAATTTTCAGTATTTTATTAATTTACTGTGTTATTCCAACTTAAGAAATTAATATTTTGGACACTTTTTGAGGTTTTTGTATATCCTATGTCTTTATTTTCAAGGATGAGAAAGCATTTTCTGAAAGCTTAACTTGCCTCTTTTAATTTTTTCTGTGATGTCATTGTTTTAATTTAACATATTTTAAAAGAAGCTACTAAATCAATATCAGATACTTTTTCATCTTTTATTCTTTTATTTTAATCTGTCCCATTGTCCAAAAGAATTTTGCCAAAAAACATAGTAATAGAATTAGGGGCTATGATGGAATGGAAATATTTATTCTATTTATTTTGATCATTTAGGACCTTTAATAGACAGGCTATTTGAACTCTTAAATAGTATGGAATCATTTCTATTTTATCACAAAGTTAATGTAGCTTTGCACTGTAAAAAGAATTTCTGAAACTTACTGTCTTTCACCGTTTTGAAAGGCCAAAAGAATATTTTTGAGTTTGTATATAGCAGATTTGAAACTGAGGTAAGGGAAATCTAGACTTTGACCCTTTAGATCTTCTTGAAATTCATTTTTTAAGAGTACTGAACTAATAACTTTTTTATGTCATTTTATTCTTTTTTAAGAGGTTCTGGAATTGTTTAGATATAGTCAGAGACTTTAGGATTTTATGTTTCATATATAATGCTATGATATACATAATAAGAAGGAGATTTTCGATTTAGATTACATTTCAGGTTTTATAGGTACAAACATTGAAATAAAAAATGGTAGGCATATAATATTTGGGGGAATATATTTAATATTTATGGTCAAAGAACAAAGTTTATTAATATATATTTACTGCATAGTTTGTGCACAGTATTCATGTGAAAATAAATGTTATTCTTAAAGACTCTAGAGCAGAGAATCAAAATTTTAAGTATACTTAGAATGTAAGTAATCTCAAATATTGTTGCTTTACCTTTCTATATGATTTTGGAGTGTAGCATATATTAGTAAATATAGACATACACGAAATTTCTGGTTTAAAGTTGTCATCCACTAACTCAACAGAAATTAAAAGTATTAAGATTTTATTTTTATAATTTCTGAAAAGCCCTTTTTATAAAATAATTTAGCTGTTTTCTCTTTCCTAGTTTTTAATTCTAAATTTCATATGCTAATTTGTTTTAGAAATGCTGCTATTTCATTTGAGAATTATGTGAGCTCATTTTATGAGTACTATGTATGTTCTGATTTTTTCTGTTAATTTTGGTGTTAGGATTTAACTTAAAATGTTGAATGTAATGGAAGATGATTTAATCATTTCTCAAACTGTTTTAATTAAAGCCCCATGGTTATTAAGTATCTCATATATAAATTAAAATCTCTGAATAAGTTTTTATATAGTTATGATCATGTAATATATCTGATCTTGTATATTTTTTTCATGAATCATATCACTTTCAATAGTTGCATAATAAGTCATTAAGTGAATATAGCGGATAGGTGATTAACACATTCATGTTGCACTTATGCTTAACATCCACTAAATGTCAATAGTATTTTTTGACTAAAATAATTTCCTCTTTATATTTTACAGTGGATGATGTTGGGGAAAAATTAGAGCATATGGGGAACACACCATTAAAAATTGGCAGTGATGGTTCCCAGGAAGATGTTAAAGAAGACGCATTTGGTTCAGAAGTAATAAAAGTGTATATATTTAAAGCTGAGGCTGAAGATGATGTTGAAATAGGTACAAATCTTAACTTATTGCTAAAATAGGAATTAAAACTAATTCTTATATTTTCTGGAAACTTCTAAAATTGTCTTTAAAGTGCAGATTTTTTATAGGTCTTTGGGGATGGAATATTTAAAAATATATATATGAATAAAAAGGAATGCAAAATATGTCGTTCTTGGATTCTTTCAATATAAGTAGAATATTACAGTTGGAACTATAAAAACAAATGAGTGGAGAGGATTTGATTTAGAGTAGGAAGTTCTATTGAGTAAGGTCAGGTTAGAGGCAGGCTGCTTGGATTTTAATCTTAGTTCTGCCATTTAGCTGAGTGGCTATTGGTGAGTTACTTAACCTCCTTTTGTCTCAGTGTCCTCATCCATGAAATGGCCATAATGACAATAACTACCTCGTAGGGCTATTGTTAGGATTAAATGGGCAAAATACATGTTAGAGACATACAGTGCTTGGCATGTGTGTAATGTAAATGTTAACATTTGTTGCTATTTCTCAGTGGTTACTGAAAATTTAGAGTGTAATTTGTAAGAAAATTCTCTTGACACTTAGAAATTTATATTGGAATATTTTGGGGAATATTTTTCTAAAGGAAAATATTTCTTTTAAAAATTTTTTTTAAGATTTTATTTATTTATTTGAGAGAGAGACAGAGAGAGTAAGAGAGAGAGCACGAGTGGGGCGAGGGGCAGAGAGAGAAGCAGATTCCCCACTGAGCAGGGAGCCTGCTTGATCCCAGGACTTCAGGATCATGACCTGAGCTGAAGGCAGACACTTAACCGACTGAGCCACCCAGGCACCCCAGGAAAATATTTCTTATATATCCTTCTTATTAAGTTAGGGAATTATTCCATGATACTTCTCTATTTTGACATGTGATTTAATTTTTAAGGTGGAACAGAAATTGTCACAGAGAGTGAGTACACCAATGGACATTCTGTAGCTGGAGTGCTTGACCAGAGCCGAATGCAGCGGGAGAAGATGGTTTACATGGCAGTTAAAGATTCTTCTCAAGAAGAAGATGATATTAGTAAGATATCAGTACAAGGGCACTGTAGTGACTTGTCAGTAGCCATCCTGAATTCTTTTTTTAAAAAAATTAAGCAATCTGAGAGATATAAGCACTATATAGGAACAAAGTTCAATAAAATAAGTCTGACCTTTGCTGTAATTAATTTAAAAGAAAAGGGTCCTTTAGACCATTCATGCATACATGTATTGTTCAAATCAGCAAACATGAAATAACTGTGTCTCAGATACGAGGGATATAGAGATAAACAACATATGGTTCCTAACTTTATTAGAGCCCACAAATATATATGGAATTATTGGACATCTATTTTGTGTGTTATTGGATATGTTGCATATATATTATTTAATACAACTCTTCTCTGAGGTAGGTGGTATTATCTTTGTTTTATGGAAGGAAAAAAATGCTCAGGGATATTAAATAATTGCCCAAGATCATTTCAATATTAAGTGAGGATTTCAACTCACATCTGTCTAACACTACTGCCAGTGTTCTTTCCACATGGCAGTGAACACTGTTGGCCTCTCTCTGGATTTAGCAGTGGAAGGGCTAACTGGTTGTTCTCCTTCTGTCACTGAAAGATTAGATAAGTAAGTATGCTTCCAAATAAGTTAAGCTGTCAGAATCTTCTATTATGCCTTTAATGGTCTCCAAGTAGTTGCTGTTTAAGGTTTCTTGGGGCTGAGTACCATAGGGTGAAAATAACTCCTCAGATTTCCTTTCCTGCCATGCTGCCCATTTCCTTACAAAGACATGTTACTCTCTGCCTACTTTCTTCTCACCTCAGTGTAAGAATGCAGCCCTTCCCTAAGGCTTCTTCTGTCTTCTTGACACGCTGAGATAAAAGCTTGTTTTGCCCTTGAAGGGCAAGAGCCTCCACTTCAGTGCATTACCTGGATGATACTCAGCTTTACCTATACTGTACTCTGATCTCCACTTCTCAGATTTCCTTCCCTAGAAGCCATGGGAAGCTGAATTCCAATCCCAAACATGAATAATACACCACAGTTGAAAATATAAAAACAAGTCTAGAGGATTTGATTGAAGAGGAAAATAATTTCTATTTGGCCTCTAAATTATTTATTATTATTTTTTACTCATTGGTCAGTAAAGGGGCACAATAGAAGGTGGGAGACTGAAGCTTAGGTTAGCTGATGCCAGAATTCCTTGGGGATGTGGAAAACAGACCAGTGTCTCTCATCAGTTGAAAGAAGGTAAACTTGGGAGAAGAGGGACACCTTTTTCCTAAATTTTTTTCACATTTCTTCCATAGTGACTAGAAGATCCCAGTATGTGAATCAAAGGAAAAGCATAAATTCAAGCCAAGTTTTTACTTAACAGCCTAAATCTAAACAGGTTATATCACATAAAATACACTAAATGACCCTCTAGGTTTAAATTTTTTATACCAATACTATATTTTTAAAAAATGAGTCTCAAGGTGTTTTTCTCAGTAGGGTCTCCGAAAATCCTGCCTCTTATAGGGTGTCCACATACTCGTGAGCACCAGCTTACATATGTATTATGTGTATATATATGTGTGTATATATATATATATTACATATATACGTGATCTTAACTTTTTTATTTAACATTTTTTTCAATTACTAGTATTTTTTACTACTTTCCTTTGCATGTACAGTACTACATTTAAGTTACAGTATGTGGGGTAGCAAGGACCACTTTCTAGTATTGATTCTATGGGAAATGCTTTCTGAGTTCCAAAGAACAATCAGGCAGAATTATGGACTGCAACCTTTTTTACAAATTTGTAATGCCCAATGGACTGTAAAATCAGTCAGTATATTTCAAGCGCACATGTTTTATATAATTTAAAAGTCATTTTCATAGGATAGGTTCTAAGAGGAGAATAAGAGTTTTGATAAATGATTGTCTCCTAGTGGCACTAGTCTCCAAAGTGCCTAATGTCATTTTCAAATTAACCAAATTGAAATCTTGACAGTTGAAAGATTTAAATTGTTTGGAATTTTTACCCATTTATTAAATATTTGGGGTTATAAACAAGCAATTATTTCTAAAATTTAGGTTGCGCTGAAATAGCAGATGAAGTTTACATGGAAGTCATTGTAGGGGAAGAGGAAGGAACTTCTCTCCCTGAGACTCAGCTTGAGGACTCTGATGTTAATAAAACAGTTGTCCCTGTTGTCTGGGCTGCGGCATATGGTAGGACACTGGCATTTTTTCACCTGATAAGTACATATCTATTTGATCAGCCTTTAGGTCATTAAATATGCTGTGCTAATGCCCCCATGAGTTGACTAATATTATAAGATGTTTTGCTGTGGACTGATTAATCTCTAGGTACTTACATGATTTTCCTACCATATATCTTATGTTATTTAAAATAAGCCTTGCTTAATGCATTGTTGTTTTTCAGTAGGATTTATTTAAAATCCTACCTGTATAAGTGAGTACCATAAAAAGTTTTATTTTTCTAAAATAGGAATATCCTTTGAAAATTGATCCTTCCCTTTTTTCAAAAACTTATTTCATGTATTAACAGCACAAATAAGATTTTGGGGGTTTGAAAAGAAACAGAAATCCAGATATGCTCTTCTACAAAGTATCTAATGGAAGGTAAATTTAGCAAGTTTTTTTTTCTTTCTATTTTACCTCATTCCTACTTAATTTACAAGATGGTCCAGGTATACTATTTACTTTGAAAAATTTTGGTGTTCAAATGCATTATCTTATCTTGGTTTTTCCAAGGGTTTATTCATTCAACAGTCGTTTATTGAGCATCTTCAATTTTGAGTGTATTCTGCAGAAATATCTAATCAGTTTTTACTTAAAATGTAAGATTGTTCTGGATGTTAACAGTTCCAAGGATGCTAACAGTAGCCCTTATTTTCAGTGCGTGAAATTATATCTAATCTATGGGAGTGGAAGAACTCAACAAAAAAAATTTTTAATCCAAGGAACAGTGGTCAAAGTAAGATTTTTGTAGATTAAGATGTGATCCACTAGTAATCATTATACTCAGCATATAAGTTTTTAATTAGTTTGTTTTTTTTCTAGGAGATGAAAGAAGAGTTTCCCGGAGGTATGAAGATTGTCAAGCATCAGGTGAGAGAGCATTATATGTGAGATGTAAGTTAAATAGCCAGTTTTATATACTGCTTGGAAAATAAGCAGTTATTGGTTTGTGTGTACAGACACATATGTTAGATTCTGACTTGCCTATTCATATCTTATCTAGTTAGTTACATAGGAGTTTGCCTTTTTTGGGAATTGATTAATTTATATACAGACATAATGTGTGTAATTTTGTGAGTGCAGTTCATTTTAGATTTATCTCAAGATAAAAATGTTGGGCAACTTACAATCTGAATCATAAAAGGTTGCTATGGAGAAAATTATAAAATAGAAATTATTTTGACAAAAAAGTCAAAATTATCCATGATATCAACCACTTGTTAATATCTTCCTTGGGGCAGAACTGTTTTCTTAATTTCTGTGGCAACCAGTAGATGTATATAGCTTAAATAAAACCCATGTGTCAGCTTCATTTTTCTTTTTAGTTATAATACATACTCCATATAGTGTTATTCCATGGTTGATAGTTCTTTTTATTTTCTTAAGCAAAGAGACTTTTTCTCATGATAAAATGTCTGACTCTTCTGTTTCTACCTTTAGGAGATACTTGACTCTAAATTTAAATGTAGATGTCAGAGGAATTGATGAGAGGCAATACATCACAGCATATAAGCTAAATGGCTTTGCAGGTCTACATTTTTTTTAGATATTTATTTATTTATTTATTTATTTATTATTTATTTATTTGAAAGAGAGATCAGGGGGAGGAACAGAGGGAGAGGGACAAGCAGATTGTGCAGAGTATGAAGCCTAACACGGGGCTTGGCATGGGGCTCAGCAGGGGGGGCTCTATCCCACAACCCTGAGATCCTGACCTGAGCTGAAGTCAAGAGTCAGATGCTTAAAGGACTGAGCCACCCAGTGCCCCACAGGTCTACATTTTTAAACTAAATTGCATGACAAAACAGATTTGTGAGAACTGAGATTTTATTAAGTACTTTATTCTGTTTACACTGATGCCACTGAAAGTGTGGTAAATTGCCCACCACGTCTATTTTAGTCTTTAAAATCGGTCTTAATACTTTTTATATTAATTAAATTATTCTAAAGCATATATACAAGAGATATATTGTTTGTTTTATATTACACATTGTCACCATGACCATATTGGTTCACTGACACATGTATATTTCTTTGCTAAGTCTCTTTAACTTCATCAGCCTTCATTGGTGAGAAATTGATCTGATGCCAATATTTTGTTTGGGCCATAAAAGTCTCTCATGTTACATTCACTTTATTAGTTTATTGCTTTAGGATGAATAAACTGAGATATTTTAAAAATTAATTTCACATGATACCCTATTTAAAGTGTTTACAGTTACGTGTGTGTGTGTGTATATAAGGGTATAAAAGAGAGAATATGGCTATACTTAGTGAAATTTAGCACCACAATGGCAACTTAATACCATGTCATATCTAGTAATTCATCTAACCAAAACCAAAAAGTATAAATATGTAATTTAATAGTGTATCAATTTTTTTCCAGGAAATACCTTGGACTCAACATTAGAAAGCAGAAGTAGTACGGCAGCACAGTACCTTCAAATTTGTGATAGCATTAATACAAATAAAGTACTTAAACAAAAAGCCAAGAAGAGGAGAAGGGGAGAAACCAGGCAGTGGCAAACAGGTAAAATACTAATACGTTGTTCATGAATATTACCATGATTTGAAATGTGGAAGTCATTTTTTTTTTGTAAGCAAAGGAAATAGTTGTTACAGTGCAGTTCCACTTCCATATACCTGTCTGTGTTTGATTTAAATAGTTGGATTTTTTTTAAAGTATTTGGTACTTAATAAAACTATGCTTGTTTGCTCTTTACCCAAATGATGTTTTCAAAGAGAATTTTCAGGTTGGTTTCACAATAAAGGGTGCCTGTTTCTAGTTTACAAAATGTATATAAAATTTTGGCAGGTGAGTAGTCTATAGTACAGAGATGCTTATTACTTTTTAGTGAGCTATTTTATCATAAGTTGCTTTTAATGTGCATTTTATCCTACAGGATTTTATTCTACTAGTATAGTTCTCACCAGCTAATTTTGGCACCTTTGTTGTAAAACCCTTTAAAACACCTGGCCAAATGTCACAATTTCCTTTTTTTTATCTAGCTGTTATAATAGGCCCTGATGGACAGCCCTTGACAGTATACCCTTGCCATATTTGCACAAAAAAGTTTAAATCCAGGGGATTCTTGAAAAGACACATGAAGAATCATCCTGATCATTTGATGAGAAAAAAATACCAGTGTACAGATTGTGACTTTACAACTAACAAGAAAGTGAGTTTCCATAACCACTTGGAAAGCCATAAGCTTATAAACAAAGTTGACAAAACCCATGAATTTACAGAATACACACGAAGATACAGAGAGGCTAGTCCACTGAGTTCAAATAAACTTATATTAAGAGACAAGGAGCCGAAAATGCACAAGTGCAAATACTGTGACTATGAAACTGCAGAACAAGGACTGTTAAACAGACATTTACTGGCTGTTCACAGCAAGAATTTTCCTCATGTTTGTGTTGAGTGTGGGAAGGGCTTTCGACATCCTTCTGAACTCAAGAAACATATGAGAACCCATACTGGTGAGAAGCCATATCAGTGTCAGTATTGTATCTTCAGGTGTGCAGATCAGTCAAATCTGAAAACTCACATTAAGTCTAAGCATGGTAACAATTTACCATATAAATGTGAGCATTGTCCTCAAGCATTTGGTGATGAGAGGGAGCTTCAACGCCATCTGGATTTGTTTCAAGGACATAAGACACACCAGTGTCCTCATTGTGACCATAAGAGCACCAACTCAAGTGACCTTAAGCGGCACATCATATCTGTCCACACTAAGGATTTTCCTCACAAATGTGAGGTCTGCGAAAAAGGTTTCCATCGTCCTTCTGAGCTCAAAAAGCATAGTGATATCCATAAGGGTAGAAAGATTCATCAGTGTAGGCACTGTGACTTTAAAACATCAGATCCATTTATTCTTAGTGGTCATATCCTTTCAGTTCATACTAAGGATCAGTCACTGAAGTGTAAAAGGTGCAAGAGAGGGTTCAGACAACAAAATGAGCTCAAAAAACATATGAAGACCCACACTGGAAGGAAGATTTACCAATGTGAGTATTGTGAATATAGCACTACAGATGCATCTGGCTTTAAACGACATGTGATATCAATACATACAAAAGACTACCCACACAGGTGTGAATTTTGCAAGAAGGGATTCCGAAGACCATCAGAAAAAAATCAGCATATTATGAGGCACCACAAGGAGGCTCTTATGTAATAAGATCAACATAAAGTAAGAAGCTATTTTGAAAATATGATATGCTACATGGGAGGAAAATTTCATGAACTGTTTCATCTAGTTCCAAAGCTTGATAGTAAATCATAACTTTACATTCTTTGTATTAGAGATCTTGAAATATTTGAATTGACAAGGGATCTCATAGGCCTTTGAAAGTTACTTAAAGAATTTAAGAAGCACCATAGAATGGTTGCAGAAAAACTCTTAAGTGTCTATTTAATAGTATTATATGTATAACTAAACTACAGAAGTGTAAAGCAAAGACAATGACTTTATTTGGCCGATCATACTGGAGATAAATGTTTCTGAAAAGCTCATATTTAATTGAATTTAGCAATGCTTTGCTGTGGCAAGCAAGTCTCACTTTTATGTGATTTTCGAAATGAGGTGGGGCAATAAAAGGCAGTCATCCATCAGTCACTTAGTCATTGAGCCTTTTTTATGGTACCTGAAAATTGGAATTCCAGAAATGGCAAAAGTTTTGTGTATTCGTTAAAAGAAATTTCACTGGAAAACAGCTTATATTAATTCAACACTATCAAAAAGAATTTCAGAGCTGCTAAGATTTTATCACAGGATAGGATGTTTAAAATACAGCATTCTTCGCTGAAGTCTAAAGTGAAGTCTAAGATTAAAGTTCCCTTTTTTCTGATGTTCAAGATGATTTTTCAGTATGGCATATATGACAAAAGTATATTTGAGTCAAATGTGGCTTTCTAAAACAGATGCAGCAGTAGTGTTGCAAATAAAGTTAGCACTATATTTCTTAATGATCTAAAGATTAAATTGAGAGAACACAGTTTTCTTAAAAACAAAGTTTAGAAGTTTCTTTTTAGGGCAGTCTCAGCAAGTAGGATTATTTTAGTCTTACTTGCTGTAATGTTTAAAGGTGCAATTTTATGCCATTATTGAAAATTTTGATTTTTAAAATCTATATACCATATTATTAACATGCATTTTCAGCGTGAGGCAGCATATATGCAGTATTTAACAAAACACTGTGTTGCCAAGAGTTTGGAGGTGGATATTCAGTTTACAGTGTATAAATTTAAAATATGCATCCTTTTAACAACGCTTTGTGTTAGCATGCTGCAAATCAAAATGGCGCTTAATATATAAAGCTGGTTTAGGGAAATTTAATGAAAATCCTGTTCATAAATGTAATGCATATGATGTGTACTTTTAAGTTATAGTTGCTTCATGTTTACACTCAGCTGTTCAACATAATTAAAATGTAATTTTACTTTATGCTATATTGTGGCTTTGTGTTTGAAATAATGTTCACCTTTCTGTTTTTGCACCAGATAAGAATCTGTTCCTTGAGAATAAATTTTTTATCTTTCTTAACTTCAGAATATTAAATTTGGAAAATTTAAAATAGTGTGTTATGTGGCTGTAAATGATGTACACGCTGTAAAATAAGATTGTCATTGTTATGTGGGATTATTATTTCTAAATGTTACTCATTGAAATGAGCATACAATAAAAAGCATTTATTGCACTTCAAGGTTTTATGAATTTATTTTAAGTTTGTTGTAATGTTCACTCTTTATTAAAAGACTTTTTACTTAAAATTGCTCTTAGGTAATTTGGTCCACAATTTAATGTCTTGTAGATTTTCTGCATTAATAACATGAGCTAGGAACTTAAAACAATTATGATGACTATGGCATGATTATTCCTCAAAAATGTATATTTTTGATAAAACCATGATGAAATACTATAAAGGTGCTCATTTTAAGACTTGGGATTTAGTATTATAGAGAAAACTAAAAATTCCTTTCCTGCTTAAGTAACCTAATCCTGAGAAAAGAATCTATGTATATTCCAAATAGACCAATATACATCCAAAAGGAAAAACATTAAATCATTAAATCAAATATTTGGGAGAGATTTCTGCAAATGAGTGTGAAATAACCTGCTATATTCAAATCAGTCAACATTCAATAGAATTCATGAACCTCGATATATAGCCCTATTGCTTAAAACTGTCAATTGGGTTAATTATTCCTAAATGATCACTAATAGAAAAAGAAGAAATCTTTTAGCCATTATATGTTAGACCAATGCTTTATAAGCTTTAATGTCTATGGAGTTCACCTAGTGATCTCGTTAAAATACGTTTTCTGATTCAGTAGGTGTGGGATGGGGCCTATAATTCTGCATTTCTAGTAAGCTCCCATGTGTTACCACCATAGGATTAATAATATGTTAGACAAAATCCCCCAGTGTAATTCTGGTATGCTTTGGCAAGTTTGCTTTAGCAGAAAGCTATGGCTAAGTGGATAGAGGCAATCCGTACTGAAGACATGGGTGACATGAATGACAAGAAGGAACCAGTCATATGAAGATCTTGTGGAAGAGCATTCAAGGCAGAGAAGCATGCAAATACAAATAACCTGAGATGGAACAAGCTTTGGCAGGACCATGGTGAGGGAGCCTGACTGATAAGAGATGAGACCTGTGAGAATTTGAAATGGGAAACCATTAGAGGATTTTAAGGAAGGGAGTAATATGATACAATTTACATTTTGAGGATCACTCTGGAAGCTATGTGAGAAATGCATTGCAGAGAAGCTGTAGGAAACAGCCATGTGAAGAGGTTATTCCAGTTGTTCATAGTTACAGTGTAGCTGGAGAAAAATAGATGGATTTTCTTTCTTTTACTTATAAATTGGGTCTAGAGGGGCACCTGGGTGGCTCAGTCAGTTGAGCCTCAGATTCTTAGGTTTTGGCTCAGGTCATGATCTCATGAGTTGTGAGATCGGCCCTGAGTCAGGCTTGGTGCTCAGCACAGAGTCTGCTTGAAGATTGGGTTGTGAGATGAAGTTTTTAAAGGCTTATTTTGTTCCTTTTGTATTGTTTGTGTTAAGAAAACGTATTACAGTTAAAGCACCATTCATTACAAGGGTGGGAAGAATGATTCATGGAATCATGTTTAAAACAATGAGTAATGGAACTTGGAAGACTAGGTTTGTAAGCAAAGAAATTCTCATTTAAAGCAGAAACCTGCATCAGCCAGAGGTCCATCTATGTTACAGTGTTGTCTCTAGTAGTCCACATCAGGTATTTTTAAAAATTTTAAAGTGGTGCTTGGTAATTCTAACATAAACATTAACATGATAATAACCCTCATGAAAATATACAGCTAAGCTAAAAATACATGTTTCCTACTAGGACTTCCACAAAGACCATACAGATACTTCACATATTTTATGTATGTATGTATGTATGTATGTATTTAAGAAAGTGAGTGAGAGAGCACAGGAGCACGGGCAGAGTGAGAGAGAGTGGGAGAAGCAGACTCCCCTGCTGAGCGGGGAGCCTGACACAGGGCTCGATCCCAGGACCCTGGGAGCTGAAGGCAGACACTTAACCAACTGAGCCACCCAAGCATCCCTTCACATATTTTATTTAGACACTTAAATTACCTTGCATGTAATTGCACAGTCTCCATTTTATTTAATATCTAAAGCAAAACATACTGGAACAGAAATTAGATAAACAGGCATTTCTCACCTGACAGTATCTTTGCAATTTTCAAAGATAAGCTGTGTGAAACTTTTGAGAGGAAAAAACATCACTACTATTTCTATTGCTTTTAACCACACATTGGAAAAGGAATACATACATTTAAGTTTGTTAAGTCTAATGAGCACCTTGTTACAACACCCATTCATTATGCATGGATCAATTACCTGAACTGTTAATTTTTTAACTGCCCCAAATTTTGGACATTGTTATTTTTATTTAAGAACATTTTGGGAAAATCACACTTGTTCTAATTTTCAGTTATGCCAGCAATTATCTATCAGGCTACTAAAAACTTCCATTTATATCATATGTAATGGGTAGATAATGTGGCATAATTTTGTTACATGTGTAGTTAGCAGGGGAGAAACTGCCCTGTTGTTCCTACACCAAGGGAAAAAATATAAGGACTATATAACTCATGAAGAATATTAACATTTTCTATCACAAAATATTGATAAAATTGGAATTATATTAATCCAATTATAGAGCTTAACATTTTAGTCAAAGTATTAAGATAATAAAATAAGGCTCTTAGCTTCATATCAAGACCTATTTGAATATTTATATAAGAATATTAAAAGCATTTATCTCGTCATTTATGGCTTGATTTAGTATAATGCCTCATCTGTTCCTATCTTAATAGTTTCTTAGTATAATGAATCATTATTAGAATATAATTATAAGGCATGACAATACTATATAGATATGTGCAGAGATATTTCAGTGCAAAACCTCATTCACATGTAACCCAAATATATTTATTGCCTTAATCTATACTTTGTCAAATGCAAACATTTTAATTTTCACCAATTCTTAACTTTAACCATGGGGTTGAAATTAAGAAATTTCATTCTTATCTACTAATGTATTTGGAAAATATTTTTGTTCACTTTGCAAAGTCATTAGAACCCAATTAATCAACTTCTAAGTGCATTAAATACTATAAAATCTTTTTTCCCAAATGAGATACAGGTATCAAGTATTTGTTCTTGCTCTTTTTATTCCCAAAGCCTTAATCTAACAATTCAATGTTACATGTTGTATACTTCTAGTTAAAAGCCCGCCTTCCTTCTACACTCCTACAATATAGTATTACATATTTTTAAGGAAGTGGGTGGACTTATTTGAGGATGATATGCTTTTAAAGAACAGATTTGTCAAGCCAAGCCACTGATATGTTCTTAGAACCATAATAGTATAATGTGTAATTTAGTGGATTTAGTTATTTTAAAAGATATTATCCTACTTCCCTGATAAATGAAATTAACCATCACCTTTGATTTAGTTATGTCTCCAAAAGGTATAAATAGCATGTAATAGAGCATCTCTTTTAGTCAGAGTTTAATGTGAGAAAAGCAAATATATGCTATATATACAATGTAGTAAACTTTTTTTAAAATTCAATAGTTTTTGCCTCTTTTTTTGGTTAAAAAACAGTATTTATTTTTGTAGATGAATTGCACACCTAATATCAGAGAAAATCTTCTAATGGAATAACTTGTAAAATCTCTACCCCAACAAATTAATTCAGTGTCTAGGAAGTACTGTATTGAAAACCAGTGCATTATGTTCTACAGTGTCTAGAATTGAAGTTTAAACAAGCAGGGTGTTGCTATTGAATACAAAAATGTGGTAGAAAAGTCTCATTAGTGGCTGGAGAAACAGTCATCTGCAGAACTATTTCATTCCATTAGATTCACTGGTAGTAGCATGGTTCAAAATTTTGATTGGCCTTTAGTTATGGAAAATAACAAAATACTAATGTAGATGCACAAAAAGCTCCTTTGAGTTGGAGATCCATTCATGGCTAGAAAAGGAAAAAAAAAGTTAATTTACAATTGGTTCATAATTCATTTAAGATATTCTTTTTTTTAAGATTTTATTTATTTATTTGACAGAGAGAGACACAGCAAGAGAGGGAACACAAGCGGGGGGTGGGGTGGGAGAAGAAGCAGGCTTCCCGCTGAGCAGGGAGCCCGATGTGGGGCTTGATCCCAGGACCCTGGGATCATTACCTGAGCGGAAGGCAGACGCTTAATGACTGAGCCACCCAAGCACCCATCATTTAAGATATTCTTATTGTATATACCCAGTTATGGAAAATGATTTAAGTTGATATACATAAAACCAAAGGAAATGTACTGCACTTCTGTGGTAACTTTTTATATGTACATTCAGTGAAACAATGGTTTATCTGACTTTAGTCAAGGTATATGTTTCAATTACTGAAGGGAGGATTGAGTAGATTTCTTCCTTGGTATCTTATTTAGAGGCTAAATATGTCTAAACATATCTGTTAAGAGAGACCTATAATTTGTGAACTTATTAAAATATATTTTGAACTTCCTCTAGTCCCCTCCAGATATCAAGTTTGATGTTTATTGCTGCACATTTTTAATGGAGAGAAATAATGACTACTATTCTGTAGACCCTTCATTTGGCAAGTCTTCACATTGGTGCACTTGTGATTTAATTTTATTAACTATACATCTACAGTAATTTATTAACAATGTCTGCAGTCTTTTATTAACTATAAATCTGACATTTTAAAATTTCTTCAAAAGGTTCTGCAGAACAATTGACATTTGTGTATTTATCTATTGCTCCTCATGGTATACTTAGGCATTTTAAAACTTACTGAAGTATAATAAACCTATAGAAAAAGTACACATATAAGTATACAACAATATGAATTTCCCCAAACTGAACACACATATGCAACCATTACCCAGATCAAGTAACAATGCATTAGCATCCTAGTAGCCCTCCTTATGCTCCCTTCCAATCAGTACCTGCCTTCAAGGATAACCACTTACTGATTTTAATAACCGTAGATTATTTTTACCAGCTTTTAGTACTTAAGCAGTTTTTAACATAACAAAGGCTGTCATTTTCAGTGTTAAAGTCAGATTCTGTGTGGTTTAGAGCTGTCATTCTCAACATTATTTATGTCCATTGCTCTTGAGGGATATCATACATTCCCATCATTATCAATGGTTTACAGTTAGAACCTCTTGGCAGTGGTGTAGGAGTATACAATTAGGAAGAAAAGACTCCAAGGTGATTCTGTCATGTTAGGGTTTCTCAAACCTCAGTAGTATTAACATTTTGGGCTGGACAATTCTTTGTTGTGGGAGACTGTCATAGTCATCGTATGATCTTTAGCAGCATCCCTGGCTTTTAGCCACCAGATGCCAATAATACCCATCTCCCAGTTGTGAGGACCAAAAATGTCTCCAAACATAGCTAAATGTCCCCTAGGGGGCAAAATTGCCCCTGATAGAAAGCCACTGCACTAAGGTGAATATATCTCTTATTTGATGTTCACTCTTTAAAGGTTAACAGAACAATAAGTAAAAGTTTTAGTAAAGTAGTATTGAGTCCTTTATAAGAAGAGGGTTTTAGTAATCAGCACCACTTAGCAATGTATTGGCCTACTTAAAAAGATGCTAAGGTCCATGTTACTTGGTCATCTTGGAGGATATTATAGAAGGTAGATATTAGAGTACATGACCTATAAAGTATTCTTCATCAGCCTCACTATAACTGTGGAATTTAAGGCTGGAGGATCTTAAAATCTCTTGAGTAAGACAGACATACTTCCTTGCTTTCAAAATACTGAAAATTTTCTATCTATAGTAATAAGACCACATTCAAGACTGAAAGACAAATTCTATCAAAACATGCCTCTTCTCCATACACCATTGTTCTTCATAATTGTCTATGACATTTTTTTACTTGCTTTAGGAAAAATTAGGGTTTTTTTTAAAATTTGAATAGAATCAGTTCAAAAACAATTATATTACCTGTGTTTGAATCATTCTAAAGTTTCTTAATTCATACTATAAATCAGTAAGGAAAACATGGGGAAATCTTTAAGAGAAAAAACGAACTGGAAGATTTTAGTTCACTTTGATATTTTACCACAATTTTTGAAGGCTGTTATATATAGAATATATATAAATTTCTATTCTTAATAGGATTAGAAATACACAAGGGAACTTACACAAGTCCATTTGTCTTCTGTTTTCTCAATCACAATAGTCTGTGTGTCACTACCTGGTGGTATGTATTCATAGTCATCATAAAGGAGGCCTAGGATTGGATATTGTGTCCTGTACCTATACAGAAAAAAGTTAGTTTACAACCTGCACAAGAAAATGACTCTCATTCCTTTTTAGTCACTCCTAGTTTGATTCTCCTTATTATGTTAAGTTGGCTCTTAATGACTTTTAACTCTAAAAAGAGAATATCTACAAAGCTTTACTACTATTATTTTCAAAAGAATAAGAAGGAAGTACTTCTGCTTCTGCAATTATGGACCACTGGCAGCACAAGACAATGATCTTAGAGAAGGGAACCAAATGACATGAGCCCTACAAGTGCCTAGCTCACTACCTGGAGATTTTCTTGCTCACAGGATAGGGAAAGTGGAGCCAAATAAATCCCTTCAGTCTCATAAAGTTGAAGTGACAGAATTTCAAGTAAAGGTATGCCAAAGCAGCTGGTATGGGGCAGAATACTAGACAGAAGAGAGCTACATAAATAAACGTCAAAAGACCTGTAGAGGACTCTCCACAAGTCTTTGGAAGTACTGATTAGTGTAGGCATGTGGAAAAACTACTGAAGCTAGGGAAAGAAGCACTGGAAAGGAGCAGCCTGGAAATCCCTGGAGTTCACATAATGAAGGGAATAGCTTGTGTTCCACTAACCAGAGTGGAAAGACCTCTTAATGCAGGGGGCATCAGGAAGAAACTGCAGAATATTGTGTTAGTGTTGGGATAACATTAGTCCTAGACTGCAGGTTTTAACAGTTTAAAAGCAAGACCTGAAAGTATTGAACTGTATCCAGGTAATTCCATCTCAGAATAAAACCACAGAATACTTGCAGTGAAATAAAAAATCCAGAATTCAAGTGTGTAAAATTACAATACATGGCATTCAATACAAAAATTAGTAGGTATGGAAGCAGGAAGATGTGACTAATAATGAGGAGAAAAACAAATTAGTAGAAAAAGAACAAGAAATGACAGATAAAAGAAATAAGTAGTCATGGTTGCATCTATTAAAAATATTTTTTAAATGTATACTCAAGAAGTTAGAGGAAAGTATGAATGTGATGAGAACAATGGAGGATATAAAGATCTACACTGGACTTCTGAAGATGAAAATTACACTGTATGGGATTAACAGCAGAATAGGCCCTGCAGAAGAAAATATTACTGAATTTGAAGACATGAAGAGAAATTATCCAAAATAAAACACAAGAGAAAAAAAAACTGGAAAAATGTACAGAGTATGAGTTACCTATGGGAAATATTAGTTGCTCTCACATATGTGTAATTGAAGTCCTATGTGATTGGCAGGAGACAAAATAATAATTGAAGAAATAATGACCAAATTGTTTCCAGGTTTGATGAAAACTCTAAACACACAGATCCAAGAAGCTCAGTGAAACTCAAGAAAAAGAATGATGAAGGAGGGTGCCTGGGTGGCTCAGTGGTTAAGCAACTGCCTTCAGCTCAGGTCATGATCCTGGAGTCCCAGGATCGAGTCCCGCATTGGGCTCCCTGCTCAGCGAGGAGCCTGCTTCTCCCTCTAACCCTCCCTGCTCTCATGTACTCTCTCTCTCTCTCTCCCTCTCATTCTCACTCTCTCAAAATAAATAAGTCTTTAAAAAAAAAAAAGAATGATGAAGGAAAACAGAGGCAAAAAGAAAGGACTCAAATAAATAAAATCAGAAAAAAAGAAGTAACAACTGACACCACAGAAATAGAAAGCATTATAAGAGAATACAGTAAAAAATTATATGCCAAAAATTTGGACAACCTGGAAGAAAAGGAAAAATACCTAGAAACATACAATCTTCTAAAACTGAATGAAGAAGAAATATAAATCTGAGCAGACTGATTCCTAGTAACAAAATTGAATGCATTGTCCAAAAACTATCAAAAAATGAAGTCTAGGTAGTGCCTGGGTGGCTCAGTCAGTTAAGCATCTGACTTTTGATTTTGGCTCAGGTCATGATCTCAGCTCAGGTCATGATCTCAGGGTTGTGAGATTGAGCCCCACATCAGGTTCTGCACTGGGTATGAAGCCTGCTTAAAGATTCTCTCTCTAGTGTTATGCTGAGCAAAATAAGTCAATCAGAGAAAGACATGTATCATATGACCTCACTGATATGAGGAATTCTTAATCTCAGGAAACAAACTGAGGGTTGCTGGAGTGGCAGGGGGTGGGAGGGATGGGGTGGCTGGGTGATAGACATTGGGGAGGGTATGTACTATGGTGAGCGCTGTGAATTGTGCAAGACTGTTGAATCACAGATCTGTACCTCTGAAACAAATAATACATTTTATGTTAAAAAAAAAAGAAGAAGAAGATAGCAGGAGGGGAAGAATGAAGGGGGGGAAATTGGAGGGGGAGACGAACCATGAGAGACGAAGGACTCTGAAAAACAAACTGAGGGTTCTAGAGGGGAGGGGGGTGGGAGGATGAATGAATCATGGAACACTACATCAAAAACTAATGATGTAATGTATGGTGATTAACATAACAATAAAAAATTTAAAAAACTAATGATGTAATGTATGGTGATTAGCATAATAAAAAAGATTCTCTCTCTGCCACTCCCTATCCCTCTCTCCATCTCTCTCTCCCTTTCTAAAATAAATAAATAAATAAAAGTCTAGGACCAGACGGATTCATAGGCGAATTCTACCAGTTAAAAGGAATTACAGAGAGGAGTTAAGATGGTGGAAGAGTAGGGGGACCCTAAGTTTGTTTCATCCCTTGAATACAACTAGATAGTTATCAAATCATTCTGAACATGGGACAAATGAATTGGAGGCCTGAGCAAACAAATACTGCAAATCTTTGAGTAGAAAATCAACCACCATTTGGAAGGTAGGAGGTGCAGAGGTTTGAATCAGGTGTGATATAGCTGAGACTATGGCCAGAGGGGAGGGAGCCTGCTTAAGGAGGCTACCGCAAAGTATTATAAGCAGTGGATCACAAAATTGGAACTTTTAGAAGTCTGCTACAGTGGGGGACATGCCTGGCTTAAAGGCAGTGAAGCAGGGCAGAATCCCAGGTGTGACAGCATGGTCCGAAGATTCCCCTGGGTCGCAGGAAGAATAGGTGGTGCCTAAGTGCTGGCCTGTTGCCAGGCAAAGGAGCATGGAAGCTGGCTGAGAACAGTGAGTCTAGGTGCCAACTTTCTGCTCTGTGTTCCCATAAACTTCGAACCACCACACATTCCAGCGACTGCTTTCCTGAGAGGTGTCCAACAAAAGGCAGATGCACCTGGAGACACTCCCTGGGAGGAGTAGTGCTGGTCTTCACTGTGCGAGTCCCTAAAATTTGGAGTTTTGAAACTCAGTTGCATGCCTGAGATAAAAAGCTCAACACAGGCAGGGTGAACCGAGCCCTGATGGAAACTGGGGAGACAAAAGTGATTGATTGCTCTTTTGTGAGGGCTCACTGAAGAGTGGGGGGCACGAATTTTCAGCTCTGGGACCAGAGAGCAGGGCACAGCAATATTCATCCTGCAGATCAGTGCTGGAAGACGCACAGAGCAAAACAGCGCCACCTAGTGGAGTCCAGAGCTGCTTACAACAAGCCCTGCCTCCCTGGGCACTGGAGGTGGATTTCCACTAGAGCAAGTCCACCTGAGAATCACCGCAAAAGACCCCTCTCCCAGAAGACCAGCGCAAACAACTCACAGCAAATTTACTAAAGAAAATAGTATCTAGTATCCTTTGTACTTTTGTTCTTTAGTTTTTCATTATAATTTTTTAAGCTATTTTCTTATTTTTTCAATTTTTTAAAAATTCTTTTTAAATTTTGTGCATATATACTTTTTATATATATTTTTAGTTTTTGTTCCCTCTCACTGTATTTTATATATATATATATTTTTTTTCTTATTTTCGGACCTAGTTTCTTTTAACAAGCAGACCAAAACACACCCAGGAGCTAGTTTTGTTTGTTTGTTTTGTTGTTGTTATTGTTGTTGTTTTCTTTTTCTTTCTTCTTTTCTTTTCTGGACAAAATGACAATATGGACAAATTCACCCCAAAAGATAGAACAAGAGGTATTACTCACAGCCAGTTATTTAATGAGTACAGATATAAGTAAGATGTTTGGGTTAGAATTTAAAACAATTATACAGATGCTAGCTGGGCTTGAGAAAAGTATGGAAGACACTAGAGAATCCCTTATTGTAGAAATAAAAGAACTAAAATCTAGTAAAGCCAAAATTAAAAAAGCTATAACCAAGATGCAGTCCCAAGTGGAGGCCATAAAAATCAGTGATATGGAAGATAAAATTATGGAATATAATGAAGCTGAAAAGAAGAGGGAAAGAAAATTATTAGATCATTGACATAGACTTAAGAAACTCAGTAATTCCATAAAGTGAAATAATATCAATATTAAAGGAGTCTCAGAAGAAAAGTGGGGAAAAGGGTCAGCAGGTTGATTTGAACAAATTATACCTGAGAACTTCCTTAACGTGGGTAAGGAAACAGGCTTTCAAGTCCAAGAGGCACAGAACTCCCCTCAGAATCAACAAAAATAGGTCAACATCATGACATGTTATAGTGAAACTTGCAAATTGCAAAGATAAAGAGAAAATTCAGAAAGCAGTTGGGGAAAATAGGTCCTTAACCTATAAGGGTAGACATAAAAGGCTGGCAGCAGATCTTTCCACAGAGACCTGGCAGGCCAGAAAAGACTGGCATGATATACTCAACATCCTAAATTGGAAATATATGCAGCCAAGAATACTTTATCCAACAAGGCTATCATTCAGAATAGAAGGAGAGATAAAGAGTTTCCAAGACAAAAACGAAAGGAATTCATGAACACTAAACCAGCCCTGCAAGAAATATTAAAGGGAACCCTTTCAGCAGAAAGAGAAACCAAGAGTAACAAACACTAGGAAGGAACAGAGACAATTTACAGAAACAGCAACTTTATAGGTAATACAATGGTACTAAATTCATATCTTTCAATAATGACTGTGAATGTAAATGGATTAAGTGCTCCAATAAAAGACATAGGGTTACAAAATGGATAAAAAACCAAGACCCATCAATATGTTACTTACAAGAGACTC